TCGGCCGTTTATATACAGCAGCCAGATGGCAAGTGGTTAATAAAGCCAGTTACCAAGATCATATAAAAAGGCGAATTTAACAGAAAAGTGCAAAGTTTCACTACCGCAGCTGCAACCTCTCACCTTGTGACTTGCTACAGAGGTACAATGTTGCAGTCTGATCACTGGGGGAGAGGAGACTGCAGAAATGCTTCCTCCTACCTGCAGCAGACTGATGACATCATCCCAGCCTAGACAAGGTCACCGGCGGGAGCTCACAAATGAAAAACAGTTTACGCTTATTTAAGCGGTTCTCAACCACGCTATGGCCTAAAGACGGCCATGAATGTCCTCCCAGAACCGCGCACCGGACACAGCTGATCACGTGTCCAGGTAAAGGGCCAATCAGAGCGGCCTTTCACAATGTGATCAGCGGTGTCCAATCACAGTGTAAATAGGAAATGCCGGTTATTGGCAGAACTCTCCTCATGCTGGCAGCACATGAGGAGAGGAGAGCCGGTAAGCAGCATTTCTCAGAGGGGACATCTACACTGATCATCAGTGCCCTGATGATCAGTGTAGCCCCATCAGTGCTGGCCGCCAGTGCCTCCTCAGTGCTAGCTGTCAGTGCCTCCTCGGTGCTGGCTGTCAGTGTAGCCCCATCAGTGCTGGCCATCAGTGCCTGCTCGGTGCTGGCCATCAATGCCTGCTCGGTGCTGACCATCAGTGCCTGCTCGGTGTTGACCCTTCAGTGCCTGCTCGGTGCTGACCATCAGTGCCTGCTCTCTGGCCATCAGTGCTCGGTGCCATCAGTGCCTGCCTTCTTGGTGCGGTGCTGACCATCATCAGTGCCTGCTCGGTGCTGGCCATCAGTGCCTTCTCAGTGCTGACCATCAGTGCCTGCTCGGTGTTGACCATCAGTGCTGCTCGGGGTGCTGACCTCAGTGCCTGCTCGGTGCCATCAGTGCCTGCTCGGTGCTGACCATCAGTGCCTGCTCGGTGCTGGCCATCAGTGCCTGCTCGGTGCTGACCATCAGTGCCTGCTCGGTACTGACCATCAGTGCCTGCTCGGTGCTGACCATCAGTGCCTCCTCAGTGCTGGCCATCAGTGCCTACTCAGTGCCGGATGTCAGTGTCGCATAACGGTGCAGCCTATCAGTGCCCCCTATCAGTTCCCATCAGTGAAGGAGAAAAATCACTTCTTTACAAAACTTTGTAACAGAAACTTTGTTTAGCAAAAAATAGCTTGCTATGGGGGCACCAAGCGCTCCGTGTGTCCATTCACACACAGAGCCGTGGCTTAGGCCCGCTCCCCCTCTCTCCTCATTGGTTGGCTGGCTATGATCCACAGCAGCGGGTTCTTATGTTGTTGGGGGGATCCACTATTAAGGAAAGTCTACTGATGCAGGCTGCTGGGGATCTATTGTTTCCAGCAGGGGTTTTTTTATTGCAGGTGGGGGATCTTTTGCCTTGAAGTTCTTATGTTGTTGAGGGAGATCCACTGTTGGGGGGGGTCTATTGATGCAAGCTGCTGGGGATCTCTTGTTGTCAGCAAGGAACGTTTGCTGCTGGTGGGCATCTATGGTTTTTTGAGGGGATCTATTATTGCTGGGGAGTATTTTCTTCCTGGAGGATGGTCTATTGTGCTGAGAGTGTATTTTGTTCCTGGGAGGATGGTCTATTGTTTCTAGGAAGAATCTATTGTTGCTGGGGGTGAATTTTCTTCCTGGGGGAGGGTCTATTGTTCCTGAGAGTGTATTTTGTTCCTGGAGAACGTTCTATTGTGCTGAGGGTGTATTATGTTCCTAGGTAGGGGGTCTATTGCTGCTAGGAAGGACCTATTGTTGCTGGGGGGTGTATTTTGTTCCTGGGGGAGGGTCTATTGTTGCTGGGGGTGTATCTTGTTCCTGGGAGGATGGTCTATTGTGCTGAGGGTATATTATGTTCCTAGGTAGTGGGTCTATTGTTGCTAGGAAGGATCTATTGTGCTGAGGGTGTATTTTGTTCCTGGGGGAGGGTCTGTTGTTGCTGAGAGTGTATCTTGTTCCTGGGGGAGGGTCTATTGTTGCTGAGAGTGTATCTTGTTCCTGGGGGATGGTCTATTGTGCTGAGGGGTGTATCTTGTTCCTGGGGGAGGGTTTATTGTTGCTGAGGGTGTATCTTGTTCCTGGGGAGGGGTCTATTGTTGCTGGGGGGTGCATGTTTGTTCCTGAGGGAGGGTCTATTGTTGCTGAGGGTGTATCTTGTTCCTGGGGGAGGGTCTATTGTTGCTGGGGGTGTATTTTGTTCCTGAGGGAGGGTCTGTTGTTGCTGAGAGTGTATCTTGTTCCTGGGGGAGGGTCTATTGTGCTGAGGGTGTATCTTGTTCCTGGGGGAGGGTCTATTGTTGCTGAGAGTGTATCTTGTTCCTGGGGGATGGTCTATTGTGCTGAGGGTGTATCTTGTTCCTGGGGGAGGGTCTATTGTTGCTGAGAGTGTATCTTGTTCCTGGGGGAGGGTCTATTGTGCTGAGGGTGTATCTTGTTCCTGGGGGAGGGTCTATTGTTGCTGAGAGTGTATCTTGTTCCTGGGGGAGGGTCTATTGTTGCTGAGTGTATCTTGTTCCTGGGGGAGGGTCTGTTGTTGCTGAGAGTGTATCTTGTTCCTGGAGGAGGGTCTATTGTGATGAGAGTGTATCTTGTTCCTGGGGGAGGGTCTATTGTGCTGAGGGTGTATCTTGTTCCTGGGGGAGGGTCTATTGTTGCTGAGAGTGTATCTTGTTCCTGGGGGAGGGTCTATTGTTGCTGAGAGTGTATCTTGTTCCTGGGGGAGGGTCTATTGTTGCTGAGAGTGTATCTTGTTCCTGGGGGAGGGTCTATTGTTGCTGAGAGTGTATCTTGTTCCTGGGGGAGGGTCTATTGTGCTGAGGGTGTATCTTGTTCCTGGGGGAGGGTCTATTGTTGCTGAGAGTGTATCTTGTTCCTGGGGGAGGGTCTATTGTTGCTGAGAGTGTATCTTGTTCCTGGGGGAGGGTCTATTGTGCTGAGGGTGTATCTTGTTCCTGGGGGAGGGTCTATTGTGCTGAGGGTGTATCTTGTTCCTGGAGGAGGGTCTATTGTGCTGAGGGAGTATCTTGTTCCTGGAGGAGGGTCTATTGTGCTGAGGGTGTATCTTGTTCCTGGAGGAGGGTCTATTGTGCTGAGGGTGTATCTTGTTCCTGGGGGAGGGTCTATTGTGCTGAGGGTGTATCTTGTTCCTAGGTAGTGAGTCTATTGTTGCTAGGAAGGATCTATTGTTGCTGAGGGGGTCTAATATTAATAAGTAATTTTTATGGAATCAGTTAACACCACAAAATGATACTCGGCTCTGTATTCCCTAAACGGAGCGGTACTAGGAGGTGGATGGGGGGCACAGACCAGGGGCAGTGTAGAATACCTGCACTTAAAGCCCTGTCTGGACAGAAGATCCTTTTCTACAGATCAGAATAGGAAAGGAATGAGGTGTACTGCAGTCAGACACTCGCCTTGCTGGAAGGAGACGTAATGACAGCTTCCAGTGGTGTGACAGACCAGGAAGGGCAGATCCTTCACCACCCCCCCTGCACCTGATATCGGCCCACCTACGGGTACTCTTTTCCCATACAATCGGTTGGGGATGGGAAAGTTTTCGGCCCAGCCTGAGGTTTTCCGCACCTCTTACTTTCACCGGCTACAGAACAAAGGTCTCAGAAAATAAATATCACAAGTACTCTGGTTCTGATCCAAGTTTCGGGAAGGTTTGTGGAAACAGGAAAGACAATATCCTGCATGAAAGTCAGATCTGTGCGAACCTTTTATTACACCGACAACCAGGCAAACCTGCTGCCCTCTGCCTGGCAGGGAAATCAGATGTTGACGGCTGTTATATAGAGCATGCTGGGATGTGTAGTTCCTCAAACATTGGAAGACCAGGGCTCAAAGGGCATGCATGGGCGCCAACTGCCACTAAGGGCAGTTAGATTTTATTTATTTATTTTAGGTACTTCTATAGCGCCATCAATGCACGCAGCACTTTACATATATATTGTACATTCACATCAGTCCCTAACCCTCAAGGGGTGTACAATCTAAGGTCCCTAACCCTCAAGGGGCGTACAATCTAAGGTCCCTAACCCTCAAGGGGTGTACAATCTAAGGTCCCTAACCCTCAAGGGGCGTACAATCTAAGGTCCCTAACCCTCAAGGGGTGTACGATCTAAGGTCCCTAACCCTCAAGGGGTGTACAATCTAAGGTCCCTAACCCTCAAGGGGCGTACAATCTAAGGTCCCTAACCCTCAAGGGGCGTACAATCTAAGGTCCCTAACTCACATTCATACATACACATACTAGGGACAATTTAGACAGGAGCCAATTCACCTACCAGCATGTCTTTGGAGCGTAGGAGGAAACCGGAGTAAACGGAGGAAACCCACGCAGGCACAGGGAGAACATGCAAACTCCAGGAAGGTGGTGCCATGGCTGGGATAGATGTATGTAAACATCAATTTTTTTTTATTCAGTAGGTTTTGCCTTCATGCCTTACCGTATGCAGTTTTTTAATAACTCATATTTTTTTGAATCTATTGCAAAGTTTCTTACCTAACCGCATGTTCTCCCTGTGCCTGCGCCGGGTTCCTCTGGGTACTCCGGTTTCCTCCTACGCACCACAGACATGCTGGTAGGTGAATTGGATCCTGTCTATATTGTCCCTAGTATGTGTATGTATGAATGTGAGGGTTAGGGACCTTAGATTGTACGCCCCTTGAGGGTTAGGGACCTTAGATTGTACGCCCCTTGAGGGTTAGGGACCTTAGATTGTACGCCCCTTGAGGGTTAGGGACCTTAGATTGTACGCCCCTTGAGGGTTCAGGGTACTGATGTGATATGTACAATATATATATGTAAAGTGCTGCGTACATTGATGGTGCTATATAAGTAGCTGAGATAATAATAATAAAGATCAACATTCCCTGTCGTGAGCCGACACCACTAGGGAGATGCCTCTCAATCAGCAGCAGCGTGGTCAGCATGCAATGTGTGCTCATTCGGTTGGCCTACAACAGGCAGAGCCTTTACTGACAGAACCTCCTGCCCTGCATTTAAAAAAATGCATTTAAAAAAATAAAAAAAGTTTTGAAAGATATCCTCTCTAACCCCGCATTCACTATATTTCCCCCGGACCCCGCAAGTGGTTACTAAACCCCGGACCCTGCATTCCCACTCCCCGGACCCCGCATTCACTATATCCGCTCTCCCCGGACCCCGCATTCACTATATCACCCTCCCCGACCCCCATATTCGCTATATCCGCTCTCCCCAGACCCCTGCATTCACTATATCCTCTCTCCCCGGACCCCGCATTCACTATATCCTCTCTCTCCCCGCATTCACTATATCCGCTCTCCTCCCCGGACCCTGCATTCACTATATCCGCTCTCCCCGGACCCCGCATTCACTATATCCGCTCTCCCCGGACCCCGCATTCACTATATCCGCTCTCCCCGGACCCCGGACCCGCATTCACTATATCCGCTCTCCCCGGACCCCGCATTCACTATATCCGCTCTCCCGGACCCCGCATTCACTATATCCGCTCTCCCCGGACCCCGCATTCACTATATCCTCTCTCCCGGACCCCGCATTCACTATATCGCTCTCCCGGACCCCCGCATTCACTATATCCGCTCTCCCCGGACCACGCATTCACTATATCCGCTCTCCTCTCCCCGGACCCCGCATTCACTATATCCCCGGACCCCGCATTCACTATATCCGCTCTCCCCGGACCCCGCATTCACTATATCCGCTCTCCCCGGACCCCGCATTCACTATATCTGCTATCCCCGGAACCCCTGCATTCTCCCCGGACCCTGCATTCACTATATCCGCTCTTCCTCCGGACCCCGCTCTATATCCGCTCTCACCCCGATCCCCTGCATTCACTATATCTGCTCTCCCCGGACCCCGCATTCACTATATCCGCTCTCCCCGGACCCCCGCATTCACTATATCCGCTCTCCCCGGACCCCGCATTCACTATATATCGCTCTCTCCACGGACCCCGCATTCACTATATCTGCTCTCCCCGGACCCTGCATTCACTATATCCGCTCTCCTCAGACCCCGCATTCACTATATCTGCTCCGCTCTCCCGGACCCCGCATTCACTATATCCGCTCTCCCCGGACCCCGCATTCACTATATCCGCTCTCCCCGGACCCCGCATTCACTATATCCGCTCTCCCCGGACCCCGCATTCACTATATCCTGCTCTCCCCGGACCCCGCATTCACTATATCCGCTCTCCCCGGACCCGCATTCACTATATCTGCTCTCCCCGGACCCCGCATTCACTATATCTGCTCTCCCCGGACCCCGCATCCACTAAGTTCCAGTGAATTTGAAAATGTTCCTACGCTATACCGATGTGTCTTTAATGCCACTTTACACTCTCTGGCACTCAAGTTGCATCAAAGTTGCAATCAATACTTTCCTATTGGAATAAAAAAAAAACACAAAAAAAACAAAACGCATCCAAAACCCGTGCTCTAAAATGCATCAGAAAAAATGCATCAATCCCAACACGAATAGTTGTGAACCAGGCCTAACATTTACTGCAATAAAAGAAAAAAACAAACAAACACGTTCAGGATGATTACACAGTTGCATTGATGCATGTCCTTTGAATCGGCCTAAAAAGTCACATGCAAGGCTTGTTTGCAGGCCTCGGGGCATGCTGGGAGGACGGTTCACCACAAGCGAGAAGAGACACAGCCCAATAGACACGCTTGTAGTCGCAGCGCCCCATTCCCAGGCTGGGCTCAGGAGAACATTTACATTTATTTCTGCAAGAAAGTCATCCAGGAACACTCAGCCTATGGAGACCAGAGAAGCCGGGATTGGGAAACCCCTTGGAAAGCCACAGGTCACGGGGCATGACGGCAAAAGGCACCCACATCCCAGTGCATGCTGGGAATTGCCCCTCATCCCAATGCATGCTGGGAATTGCCCTCCCATCCCAGTGCATGCTGGGAATTGCCCCCCCCCCCCCACATCCCAGTGCATGCTGGGAATTGCCCCTCCATCCCAGTGCATGCTGGGAATTGCCCCCCACCACATCCCAGTGCATGCTGGGAATTGCCCCCCCACATCCCAGTGCATTCTGGGATTTGCTGCCCCCCCCCATCCCAGTGCATGCTGTAAATTGTACCCTCCACACATCCCAATGCATGCTGGGAATTTCCCCCCATCCCAGTGCATGCTGGGAATTGCCCCCCATCCCAGTGCATGCTGGGAATTGCCCCCCCCATCCCAGTGCATGCTGGGAATTGCCCCCACCACATCCCAGTGCATGCTGGGAATTCGCCCCCACCACATCCCAGTGCATGCTGGGGAATTGCCCCCCCACATCCCATTGCATGCTGGGATTTGCTGCCCCCCCCCCCATCCCAGTGCATGCTGTGAATTGCCCCCCACATCCTAGTGCATGCTGGGAATTGCCCCCTTACATCCTAGTGCATGCTGTGAATTGTACCCCCCACATCCCAATGCATGCTGGGAATTGCCCCCTTACATCCCAGTGCATGCTGGGAATTGCCCCCCCCCCCACATCCCAGTGCATGCTGGGAATTGCCCCCCACACACATCCCAGTGCATGCTGGGAAGTGCCCCCCCACATTCCAGTGCATGCTGGGAATTGCCCCCCCCCCACATCCCAGTGCATGCTTGGAATTGCCCCCCCCACATTCCCAGTGCATGCTGGGAATTGCCCTCCCCCCCACATCCCAGTGCATGCTTGGAATTCCCCCCCCCCCCCCCCACTTCCCAGTGCATGCTGGGAATTGCCCCCCCTCACTTCCCAGTGTGTGCTGGGAATTCCCCCCCCCCCCCCACTTTCCAGTACATGCTGAGAATTGCCCCCCCCCCTCCTCCCAGTGCATGCTGGGAATTGCCCCCCCCCCCACATCCCAGTGCATGCTGGGAATAGCCCCCCCCCCCACATCCCAGTGCATGATGGGAATAGCCCCCCCCCCACATCCCAGTGCATGATGGGAATAGCCCCCCCCACACACATCCCAGTGCATGCTGGGAATTGCCCCCCCCCCAGTAGCTGCAGTACTACAGGCCAGTGAAGCCCGCTCTCCATGACCCCGGGGGGCTCATAATTCTGCAGCAGAGAACATTCCTCCAGTCCCCACCATCATACATATTATACATCGGCCAGCTGTTGCCTCTTAACATTCGCAGTGCGGGCTGCATGGCTGAGAGACGTGAAATGACACGACGCGCGTCAATATGTTATTATTTATAGTCTGGGGACAGGCCGGCATGCTGCTTCCACACGGATTCTATGGACCTTCCTGAACAAGTCATCAGCCACTTTGGAGAAGAAAAAAAAAAAACAATAACCATAAAAAAACCCCCCAAAAACAAAACAGTTTAACTGAAAAGCAAAACACATAATAAATAAATAAAAGAACAAATGTGTAACTAGAACCTCGAGACGTCATAGCGCGGCTCTGAGCACACTGTAAACAGCTTATGTAAGGAAGCGCAGAGGGTGGTACTCTGCCGTCCCCTGCTGGCCACAATACATTACTACATGTTACAGGTCCGACTTTTAGGTAAATGCCATTTATAAGTGACAGGCTGAGAAAATACCTAACATGCTTCGTCCGTAAAATATCACAAAGCTCTTCGAACACAACAATGATCTATTTAGACCTGAGTTTCTCAACCTCTTTCTTCCACAGTCGTGGCACCCTTTAAAAGTATGTAAAATCTCTTAGGCACGCCGGTGTAAAAGTAGTAAATATTACTTATCAATGGGAAACCTGAGCCTGAGACGATGCACCTTGGAGAAATTAGCTTCATATCAGAAGCCCCTCTTCGCATCAAAGATTCATCACATTGGAGGTCCCCCCTTTTATATCAGAGTCCCTCCTTTACATCAAAAATCATCCTATGCATAAGAGCCCCTCCCCCCCCAATGTCATCATAAATGCCACCACACGTACACTATATTTGCCAAAAGTATCGGGCCGCTGGCCTTTCCCCGCACATGACCTTTAATGGCCCCCCAGTCTTAGATAGAGAGAAAACAGGTAGCGCGCACACCTAGTGCATTATCCAAGGTTTATTGTAGGAATTAAATCATAAAAACATACTCACAGACGAAGCATGTATCTAAAAAGCATAGAAAAATGACACAACGGCGGGCAAAGTGTTCTCACTGTCAGTGCGGTCAAATGGCTGACGCGTTTCGGGGACGAATCCCTTTCCTCAGAGCTGATGACCAACCTCTGATGCTGATGCACGATGAATGGAAAGTAAAGTAAGAGCCCTGCTGTTGAGGCATCAGAGGTTGGTCATCAGCTCTGAGGAAAGGGATTCGTCCCCGAAACGCGTCAGCCATTTGACCGCACTGACAGTGAGAACACCTTGCCCGCCGTTGTGGCCATTGTCATTTTTCTATGCTTTTTAGATACATGCTTCGTCTGTGAGTATGTTTTTATGATTTAATTCCTACAATAAACCTTGGATAATGCACTAGGTGTGTGCGCCACCTTTTTTCTCTCTATCCAGTGGCCGATTTCCCCGTCTGAGGAGGGCTGCACCCCTGAAGCATTTCCTTTGGTTGTCGCTGTCCTGGTACCCTTGGCTTCCCTTTTGGCTGTGCATATCCTGAGGCGCTGGAGAGTACATACGCCCCCCAGTCTTAGTCCGTAGGCCCCATTGTTGGTGTCACTGGGAGAAATTTTGTCCCATTTTTGGTGTCACTGGGAGAAACTGTGGCCCTTCATTGATGTCATTAGGCCCCATTGTTGGTGTCACTGGGAGTCCGTCCATGGAAATACATCATTTACATATTTTGTGCAACAACTACATCAGTATTCAGTAGATATACACTATATTGCCCGCAGTATTGGTCGGCCGGCCTTTCCACACACACCTTTAATGGCCCCCCAGACCTAGGGTTCAATAGCCCCCCACCACAGACCTTTAATGGCCCCCCATCCTTAGTCCGTAGGGTTCAATATTGAGTTGGCCCCGCCCTTTCCACGCACATGACCTTTAATGCCCCCCCAATCTTAGTCCGTAGGGTTCAATATTGAGTTGGCCCCGCCCTTTGCAGCTATAACAGCTTCAACTCTTCTGGGAAGGCCGTCCACAAGGTTTAGGAGGGTGTCTATGGGAAGGTTGGACCATTCTTCCAGAAGCACATTTGTCAGGTCAGGCACTGATGTCGGGGGAGGAGGCCTGGCTCACAGTCTCTGCTCTAATTCATCCCAAAGGTGTTCTATGGGGGTTGAGGTCAGGACTCTGTGCAGGTCAGTCAAGTTCCTCCACCCCAAACTGGCTCCTCCATGTCTTTATGGACCTTGCTTTGTGCACTGGTGAGCAGTCATGTTGGAACAGGAAGGGACCATTCCCAAACTCTTCCCACAAAGTTGGGAGCATGAAATTGTCCAAAATGTGGCCTTAAGAGTTCCCTTCGCTGGAACTAGGGGGCCAAGCCCAACCTCTGAAAAACAACCC